GTGCATATTGATGGTCAGTTAAATGAAACGGGATGAACTAAGACCTACAAATTCTTACTCATACATATGTACTTCCGGAAGCACATATCATATTTAAACAATTAAATACCTCTGTTTACCAGACCTAAAGACAAAATCAATGAATAAGATTCTTAAAACCTTTCCATTGTATTACATCTCTTTAGGATCTATTTACGTGCTCATCGAAAGCAGATAAGAACCCGAGAGATAAGATCAAACACAAAATAAATATAATATATTTTATTTCTGCTTCAACCTATTGCGGTACCCAAAAACACTATTTAATCAGATAAGAACCCGAAAGGTAAATAAGACCAAAGAAGAATATAAATGACTGAGATGCATAACAACTTACAACTTGATTACATTCCCACATGACAGATCTCTTTTTAGGTTCAAACTTTTATACTATTTAAAGGCAGATAGGAGCCCGATAGAAACATAAGATCAAAGACAATAAAAATGAATAAGATGCGTAACGCATTGTGCTCGAAACTGTAGGGCTTTGTATGGCTTATACTTATAAATACGAACCAGTGTTCCAGTCAGCGTTCGCGACCACCTTCCAGGCAGATATTATGAATGAAATCAACTTGAATTAAATTCCACGTTATTATGGCCTTCTCGTTTCTTGCTCTGCGGTTCTGCTTTTGTTTTGTTTACACACACACTGCAGCTGTTGAATCACCGCGGAACGAGGCAATGTACATTTCGGCGGCTTTGCTTTGTTTGGCTTTTGAGGTATTTAATATTTAGCAGAACTGCATTGCGTAAACAATTGCAAAACTGCACTCGGAACGGGCATTTTTGTTGCCACTTTACACTGGATTTCTTTCGGCCGCTGGGTTGCGTGTCGATTACTTCCACTTATTTAACTGGTTTATTTGGATATTGCGAATAAATGTTTACACTCGCCTGGCGAACGCCCGCGCGCGAATCTTTCAGCGCAGCCCACGCACTTTGCGCGGCATCGCCAACTTCAGTTGGCAAAGAGACATGGCTTGGCCAGAAAAAGATACAGATACAGATACAGATACGGATACGGATGCGCTCTGACGATGGCGGCAGTGGAAGCGCGGCGAAGCGAGCCGCGGCGGAGCTGCGATCGAGTTGTGCGCCGCTGAAGTGTTCAGCACGTATTAATTTCTGTGGCAGCGCAAAAGTATCCGAAAGATACATTCCGTTTGGTCGCGCACAAGCGCATATGTGGGCAACTCTGCTGCCGGCGTCGCTGCCCAGATTAGCGGCCCAACTTGTTTGACAGAAAAAACCAAACACCAACGAGAGCACAGAGCGTCGTCTTCCGTCCCAGTCGCAGTCCCCCGGCATTGTTTATATTTACATTTGAACATTCCCCGGAACCTGCGAGGGGGGCTGATGATGATGATCGCGACGGGCCAGCGCACGGGGTCGAGTTTGATGAAAAGCGACAAATTGTTGTCACTGTCGTCTCAAGTGGCAGCAGCTCTCGCTTATCTCCGTCCGCCGCAGTCGCTTTGTTTTGAGCCAGACAAGTAGCTGGGTTCATTCTAATTTCGACATCTGTCATGGCTTTCTTCGTAGAGCAATCTGCGCCCTTACATGCCAGCTGCACTCTCCAAGACAAGCACTCGCTCTAATCTAAAGTAATTCTTATTAAACCGAACTACTCATGAAGGTACCCCTACCTGAGAAGAGCGTATCTCAAGTATAGCTTCGCATATCTGTTTAAATTAGATTCAACTGAACTGTAAACTTCATCTACGATTCTGTGGCGATTCCATCATATGCAAATGATTCCCATCCAAAGGGGACATGAATGGTGCAAAGTGGTTGTGTGAGGCTAATTAAATGTCGAGACGAACGGGGCCATTGGCAGTCCGAATGAGGCCAGAGCAGAGTATCTCCGATTTGTATTTGGTTACTGCGGCATGTGGCTCTTGACCAAAACTCGAATGCTTCCGCTTCACAAATGCTTTGGCGGAAATTGCTCTTACAAATCAAATTCTTTGACCGGTGGTTTTGCGGCTTTTGCTCTCCATTATCTACGTATACTTGTTCTATATAATCCAAGGGGTTTCACTGCCACATCCAATTATTTATGGGTGAAAAGCCAACAATGGGGCTGCTTTCTCTGGGCTCCAGTCGCACAGATCACAGGCACTTGAGGTCCAACACCTACGATGTGCTTGAACTTGAATATCGATGCCATTCGGGTCGCCTTGGGTGGTCCCCCACACCTGTGCCTAATGATGCCTAATTATATGTGGGTTCAGTTTCAGTTTCCGAAGCATTTTCATTAGTTTGATGGCTTTTCTGGCTGGGCCTAGCCTGGCACTACGCTAGCTATGGCTATGTGTAATTATATAATCATTTTAATTGGATCCGGCAATGTTTGCGGCCACGCCGTCGACACGTAACAAAGATTAATCGAGCTCATGTCGGCGGGCCAGGAGACAAGAGCCGAGACGAGCTCAAGTACACGAGCCCTCTTGTAGCTACTTTGTTACATGCACGTCGAGCAAGGTCAAGGAGGAGGCGGAATGCAGATTTCATTCGCAGCCTTTAAGTTTTTATTCAATTATAACGGCGCTCAGCAGCTGCCACGCCCCCACTTTGACTGCGCCAGACGGAGGTTTTTTCGCTGCAGGTCGTCTGTCGAAGACATTTATAAATTAGTTGCAATTTGTATCTGCTTCAGCTGCTTTGGCTGGCAGGGCTCACTGCTCGTATTTCATTAGAGCCAAATTGGCTTCATCACGTGATCGTAGCCAGCGGAGGGGGGACGGAGGGGGAGCTGGAGGGCTTCCCGGGCCAAAAGGGGAAATCCAAACAACTGGAAACGGAACTCGCACCAAATGGCAGCACCGCGGCATGGACTCACATTCTCACATAAATATCTTTTGTATTTGTATGCGCCCCTCCAGCATCACCTCGAATTAATTGTGGGGCTATTGATAGGCCTCTTCTTTGTTTTTAAGAGACCGGCACTCGGATTCGTATTCGGCACTCAGCAGTTATATTTATCCGGCATCCATCTCTGGAAATTGGGGTTTGCGTGTCGCACGCTCCACGCTCCATGCTCCGTGCTCCATCACGAAAATCCATAACACTCGCCTGCACCGCGAAGTGTCAAAAACAGTTTCAAAGGCCCCAAACATTGTGGATTCGTTTGAATAATTTATTACGCTTTAATTGCTGATGGTTGCCCGCCGGCAAATCCATTTCGTGTTTTCCCAAAAGCCAATCAGCTGGAAAAATTGTGCGAAAACAAGATCTTCTCGGCGCATATAAAAGCAATGCTGGAAATTGGGTCATGGAGATGCGCCAACAGGAACTCATTGCTTTTAGGAGCCTTTCAAAGGAATCATTTAATAGAGAAAGAGTTATCCTCGCTTAAAGTTTAAAAATGTATCCCGTACCCATAGGACATATGAGAATTTAATCAAGCATCGTAAAACGAAGGTTGCCAGGATTGCCATTTAAACATGGTGTATCATAAAGTATATTTTATAGAAATGTCAATCATCAAATCGACGATTTCAAAATGTTTACGTTGCGATACTCGATTTACTTTCTATTAATTAGAAATACAAATAAATGAAAGATTAAATTCGATTAGATTTTAATAGATTGGTATGCAAAGATATATGGTTTTTTTATTTTTTCAATATAAAAATTAAGCGTGATATAAATATATAAATCGATATTTTTGTGTTGCAATATATGTGAAATATCTCAATATTTTAACATTAAATGCGATATGTTTCCATATTTATATAATTATTTCCAAAAGCACTTTTTCTCACCATATACATTCCAGTCTCTAATGGTTCATCAAGTCAAACACAATGAGTTCGAACTGAACGATTCAAAATAATTATGTTATTATTATGTTATGTCTTGAGAAGATGAGTAGCTAAGGTCATTTGGACTCAGAGCGCCTCTAAAAATGTGTTTTTCAATAGTTAAATTTAATGTATTTTGTACCTCACACTCAAGCACCATCGACCATGTATATTTTCTTGTTTGTTTTTAATTAAATATGAGTGTTATTAAAAGGCTGACAAAGAGGACGGCGGTCTTAATTGAATATAATGATTGAAATAAGAGGAATCCACTGAAAAAATAAAAGGGAAGGAAAACCAATAGTCTTAGGAAAGATGCAATTGGATTCAGGTAAAGACGAAGAACGATGCAACGTCAAAGGAAGCGGTTTCGTAATTAAATCAGGGGCGGGTCGGAACAGCATTTCATTCACATTGCCGCCACTTGCCACTTACCACTTGCCACCAAAACCAACACTGGCAGTGCAATTTCCATAGCCACTCGCCAGGCCACAGACGCCGTATTAGCAAGTTGAGGTCATGCATGCTGCCACTGTCATGCCCCACTTAACCGTAAATACTCGAATTTCCATTGCTGCCACTCGGGCACGGAGAGCGCTGCGAGGAACCTCTGGCCGATTCGGGCCGTTTCAATTAGCAGGAACCTCTCGGAACAAGCCATTCCAAGCATACATATGTATGCAAAATGTACACTTTGCCCGGCCAGATACTCGTGCAGCGAGAACATTGGGCTGGGAAAAAACTGCTGGCCAATATCCTGGCGGAAATTAATGTTGCTGTGGCAAGCACAATGCCGGCAAGAGGGGGCGGAAACTGGGACAGAAAAAAAAGAAAAAAATGGAATGCCACAAACCAATACGATACGATTCTCCGAGGGGCTTGGGCTGGGCTGGGCTGGGCCGGGATTCTCCGCTGTCAGCAGTTCCTTTTTCCGCTGTTCGCTTCGACGAACAAAGAGGAGGCTTAGACCGCAGCCCCGCCCGAAATCACAAAAAAAATTCCCGGAATATTGAGCATGCACGGAGCGCAGGATATGCAGCACGGGGCCGGATAATCGCCATCAATTATAGGGCCCAGTCCGGGCGTTGTTTCGCACTTGGCGACCCCGACTGACACTGCGCCATCACTTGGCAGCTGCAAACATGGACTCACCTTGCCATCGGCATCGGCATGGGCGTGATACCGGACCTCCAGCGATCCACCGAGCACTGCATACCAGAAGCGACCCTGCTCCCCGGCACGAAACACTGTGAGAAGGGACAGGGGAATGCGTTAGCTCCTTGTCTGCGTATTAAGTTTGGGGCCGAAGCCAACACTTACGTGTGACGCCCTTCTCCAGGTCCTCGTAGAATCCGCACATGGCCAACTGTTGGAGCGCGGAGCCCGGAAGGCGACACAGCGGCTCCACGCGGCGCAGGCGGCACGAGATAAGCTCCACGTCACGCAGGTTTCGGTCGCAAGGACTATAATAAAGGATTAAGGAAGCGATTAGGAGTGTGTAATTACAAACAAACTAAAAATTACCCTACATTTGAACTTTAGATAGCTAAATTGATGTGCTTTATTTACGGAAGTATTTCAGGAATCATTTATTACTTTTCCTTTTTATATTTTCTAAGAAATTTCTAACATAATTAATCCCACATCATTTTAGAACATAAAAAGCTTTTAATCAGCCAAGTTTATTTTTGAATAGGTTTCTTCTGTTCTCTAATAGAACCCAAAATAATATATATATTAAAAAGCCAATGCTTAGACTAACTTTTCCTTTAAACATCCTACAAAATAAGGTTCACAATAAAATAATAATAATCCTTTGGCCATTGACTCGGCTTATAAAACCATTTAATGTCGGGTCCAGGCCAGTCGCACAATAGGTCCCAATATAGCCAAGGGGGACCTCAAATAAGAGTCATAACGAGTGTTTTCCATTTATAATTTATAGACTCTATGCAAAGCACTGCACTTGGATTTATTCTATTTTTTGTTATATCGCCGGACAAGGCCAGCTGGGAAAATGAACAAAGGCAGGGAAGGAAAAGTGGGGAGAGGGAAAGTATTCCAGCAACAATGAACTCAAATTAAAAATTCCAGTGTCATTTGTGCATGGTTTGTGCGCGCATTAAATATGCAAATTCTATTTTTTTATCCGTCTACGTCTCTGAGCGAGTCAATTGAAAAATGAATAAATAAATATAAGAGTGTCCGGAGAAGAAATTCAGCAGGAAGCGGAAGCCCAGCCAGAAAAATAAGAAGGAAAGAGAACAAGAGAAAACCAAGACAGCCACTAATTGAATGATGGAAAACTGTAAGGAAATTAGACCCATTATATACCCTCTAACCATGAAAGTGAAAACTCGTATAATTCAATCGGAAATTAAAGTTTCTAGCTTTAAAGAAGGAAGGAAGGAAGGACTAAGGCTTATTTGTCTTTAGTATTATTAAAATATCCTAGAGTCAAGTAAAAATCTTCGCATAACTTTTCAGAATTTTCTTAAAATACTATCTTACTTTATATGGTTATTGTTTTTACTAAAACTCCTTGAATCAACAACTTTTATGATGCAGTTGGGTAACGGCAACAGTAGCATCTCGTGTCCTCCAGCGAACACCACCACTTGTAGGATTCTCTCCTGGTCTTTTGTGGGGCAGTTTGTGTGCCTAACAGACTTAACTGTCCATTAAAGAAGTAACAAAATTATCCATTTCGCTGCCATGTCGAACTAAAGTTTAGACAAATAAAGCGAAGGCAAACAACTCTTGGCAACAATGAAGCCGTCGAAGCCGTCGAAGCCGTCGAAACCGCCCACGCTGACGACTCCTCGCTGGGCTTCCGTCTAATTAAAAATTCCATAAAAGAGTGGCTGCGTGGGCTGAGGGATCTAAAGAAGAGGTGAGCTGGTGAGTTGCAGACAAAGGCGGCTTGCAAATCAGAAATAAAACACAAGTTGGCCTTCGCCAGGGCATCATCTGCATTGAGGGCTACTTTCGCAGCGCGCCGTCTACTTTTTGGCGCAGCCGTTGAGCAACTTTCAGAGGTAAGCGGCTGTCTTGCCGGGCTCATACATAATTCATTCGCCAGTGGAAGCGGCAATTTCGGGAAACCGAGGAACACCAGCCGGGGTTGAATCTCCTGCTCCGTCCCTGCCCCTGTCCCTGCCCCATGCCCCTGCTCTATCGCCATCCTGGCCACCAACTGTTTCTGGGTTTGTCGTTAACCAAACAGTCGGGGCCTAAGTGCTTTCGGGGCATGGGGGCGGCGCCAGGAGCCGGAAGCGCGTCGAGGCGCATCCTAGGTTGTCGGCCAGCCCAGGGCTCGTTGTTTATTATAATGGTTTTGCGGTTTTTAGGCACACGCCCGAAAGTTTAGTTTCGGAATTTTGTAATTGCCGTGCCGACTTAAAGGTGCAACCACGTCACGGAGTCGCACGCTCGCGTTGAAGCTGCTATCGCACACGTGGCTCATGATAAATGCGCGCTGGCACTTGTGAGTAAGACGACTTCTTGCCGGGAAGCCATCAATATCAATTGCTGTCTGGCTTTGCCACTCTTCCCCTTACGTACTGCGATTACCTTGCCTTCTGCCTGTGCCAAGGACTCTCTCTCAGGACTCGTGCCGACGCTGCTCCCCGCCCTGGAGGTGTCCTTGTCCTGCAGGTGTCCTTAAGCCCAGATCGCTCTTGATAAGCCGAATTTCCAGCCAGCGATTCCCACGGCATGACTTTCCCTTTCTGGGGCGGAGCTTTTGCCATTAATTCCGCCCAAATTAAATCATTTATTTTGCGAGGTTAACCTGAACGCAAGGCCATTTGTATAAAATGCAAAGTGACTTGCCACTTGGCAGAGTGCCTGCGCCATCAGAATCCCGAGGAGGAGCCCATGGAGGGACCGCTCTGATTATTATTTTAGTTGGCGCTGCAGCCTGCATCCTGGCACTTGGCTCCTCGTTTATGCGGGGCAAACAAAGGGCAGCGAATTGCAAATATTTGCCCCTAGGCACAAGGCAAACTGTTTGCTCTAAGCCTTTGCCACTTGACCTTTCTTTTTTGCCGCCGCCGCGCGCAGTCACACGAGTGACCCGGCGACCCGCCAGCTCTCGGACCCCCGATCCGTGTGGGAGAACCGTTTAAGCGTTGACAGAGCATGAAATTTGAAGAGATTGCCCTCTGATTGATGGTGCGGGTCGCACCAGAGCAATGAAATATAAGGCCACTCCACAACGGCAGTCAGAGCCGCAGAACTGAGCAGTCGATATGTGCCATTCGAGGCTAATGGTGACACTTGCCGAGAGATTCTACAGCATCAACTTGGCAAATTGCATTAAATGGTTTCAAGCGATAAAAGGGACTAAATTGATTTGGGCACAGAGAGAAATTTAAGCTAAACATCCTTTACTGGGGAGAATATCCTTTGACCTTTATCCCTATAAGCTAATTATAATAACCTGTTTGCAAATTTGCCTGCAGTTTTGCTTTACTATTATCAAAATTAAACAGTAAATTAATTGGGTTCTTATTACTCAGCCTTGCCTCTATTTTTGACACTTAAGTTTATGATATGATATTAGTACGGAATATAAAAGACGACACGGAAAACAAATAAAGCGTAAGATCATTAAGGATAATTTTTGAATTACATTTAACTCAACCCTTTTTGCCTGCAGGTTGAAAATCATACTTTTATAGTAGTCCACAATCGAGGTTCAAGTCGTTACATAGAGTTTCTTCAAGCACACACTATACACCCAGCGGAAACCCTGGAAACCCCAAGGACAAGATGAAGGTTGAAGAGAAGACACCCAGAAGAAAAATGGATAAGAGGGCTATAAAGAACGAGGGTTCTTCAACAATAAAATCTATTGAAAAGAAGTTAGATAATACTAAATTCTGTTATATTCTAATGCTTTCTTTCTTACTTACGTTTCATGACCATTAATTAACAAAAAACATGCATATCAAACTAAACAAAAACTTGTATTGTAATAAAAGATAAAGAAAATAAATTGTCTTCGCTATGTTTGCGCGGATACTTCAAAACGACTTCCAAAATGGCTCTGGCTGAATAATCTTATTACCATGTTCGCAAAGAATACAAAATTACGCTAAAAACATTAATGTTTTTCTAAACTTTCATCCGTAAAGCTGCCTCACTGTCAAAAATTGGCGGTCAGAATTTTTTGCTAAGAAAATTTGGTTGTTTATCGAACATATTTGGGAGCCAAAATTGACAGGGACCCATGATCCCTGTTAAATCTTTTTCGGAAAGGCAGCAGCATCGTCAACTGTCGATGAAAAGAGCAGCAGAACGATATTTGCCTGATGTACAACTCTACTTTATGGAAATTGTATTGATAAATCAACAACTTTAATTTGAACGCTTTCTAATTACTGCCTTATTTTGTTAGTTATGGTTTGTATTTGTTTGTAGAAAGTCAATATTTTCCTCTGTGCACATATGTATATTCCCGCATTCAATCGAGACTTTCTAGTCGAATCACAGTGATGTAATTGCATTGGCCATGGCAATGGCGGCTCATTGAATCAATGGGAATTGGTATTGCGATCTAATAAAGCGGATAATTCGCGGCAGGCCGTGTCCACAAAATGGATTTGCCTTTTGCCAGGACAGCACTGATGGCGGGAGATTGAGTGGGGCCCAGATGTTGCCTCTTGACAAATGAATGTCGAGCATGACGGTAACATTTTAAAATGTTTCGCTTCTCGTTTGCTCATGTTTTGTTTGTACTCCACATCGAGCTTTTCATTCCACGTCCATGGGTGTGTGTGCTCGTACGTGTCTTCCTTGGGAAAACAAAAAGCGAAGAAGCTTGTGCACTCAGGTTGAAAATGTGTCGGAAAATTTAAGGAATTGTGCAACATTGAAGGTCTGGATTCAAACTTTATGTTTAACTTGGGAACTCATGATTTCAATTAGGGAAAGTTTTCATTTTCATTTCATCTTAAGTTTTGCCAGACTATAATTATGCAATTCGATTTAAGGAAGCTTCCCTAGCTTATCTCTTTAAATTTAATTTGAATAACTTAAAATAGAGAGAAGTATGCATTTTACTCACCGTTTGTCCATTGCGGTTATCCATTCCATTGCCATTGTCGGTGTTTCAGCTCAAACTGCCTTGTCACGATTATGTAGAGTCGTTTTGCAATTAATTTGAATTATTTAGCGCACGTTTTTAACATTCCATAAAGACCGAATATAACTTGACTTTCAACACAAATCGAAGCAAGAGGGTGGTTCAAAGTTTTGCAAATTATTGCCGCATTGCGGGGCAGAAAAGCGAAATCAAAAGACCGGAAAAACTGCGTCCTCTGGCAGTCAGTTTGCGTCACCTGAACTCGCGTAGTTGCTGTCAATCAGCGATTCCCTTTGAGAGTGGCTTCTCAAATGTTGCTCCTGCCTGATTCTGGTTTTAGCCCAGCATTTCACTCGAAATCCGCTTTTGGCAGCGACGACCGACTTTGAAGCGAAGGGTAAACGAAAGTAACTTGTTGATTAAGCTAAAGTTGCCGAATAGATTTTAATTCGATGCTGGGAGTCCCGTGCAGCTGCAAAGTTAAATTGGGCAAATGTGAAACAGAATTTTCTTTGGCTTTAACTCACTGCAAAGCATGTTAGATGTTAGATGTGTAGGCTAGCCCTGGGCTTTGAGGGAATTCCAGCATAATTCATTTGGAATGCCAACAGCAGATGTAAAAGTTTTCCTCATTTTCTCGTATATTCTTTCGGCTAAAAACTAATGTGAATTGTTATTGTTCGACTTGCCAAAAAGGGTTCTCCCCCGCCCTCAAGTGCCATGATGTGTGTGTGTGTTGCCAACTGCTGTCAGCTGCCCAGAAGGCCCTAATGCAAGTGTGTGTGCGTGTGCGAGGGTTTGCGGCTATCTGTGTCCCCCAACAAAAGCAAATGTTATGAATAAGCTTTGATGCGGAGCTGCGAGGCCGGGAACGGACCAACAAACTGTCGGGGTACTAATCTAACAATAGTTTTTCTAGATAACAATAGATTCCTCCTCACGCACCCACACTGCGTATACGTAATGCGCTGCCCAATAGGCAAACTGATTTCCCAGATCGCAATCCGCCCAGTGTCCTAGTCGGAATCGTAGTCGGACGGACAGACTGAGTGTTGTTTACTCGGTCGCTGCATTATCCTTATCTACGAGTATATAATGGCTGCGCATTTACTAGCTACCTGGCGAGCGCTACACGTAAATGGCAACAGAGTGACAGAGCCCGATGGGCGATAAGATGGATATTGTCGATATTCTGCGTGGGCCGATGCGATAAGAGCCCCCTTATCGGACGTGTTCCGCAAATGGCCGCCCTCGGGTTCCGGCAAAGGGTTGCGGGGCTTGGGCTGCCAGCAAAGTGCAATTAGTGTCCGGATTGAAGTTGAGAAAGTTTTCGAATCGCTCAGGAAACAGATGTTTCATGTAATTTTCACTTTACAATTACAAACTTGCTTTTTAATTAACGCCACCGACAGCAAGCCAAACTTTGAGCCACAGCAAATGTGACTCAACTTTCGGCTGTAAACGAACCTCAGACGAGCCATTTAACTTGGTCATTGTGCGAGCAATTAGAATGAATAAAGCACTTACGCATCCTCCTAGCGAAGCAGAGGATTAATTGGTGGTCAAGAAGGGGTCTGAATCCAAATGGGATCTTTCCAGTCTCTGATGAGTTCTAGATTTCACCACAAACCAATCACGAAACGCGAATTTAACACAAAGGTTGAGCACTAAACTGCAACGGAGACTGAAAGCAGGACGACTTAAACCGATATATTGAAAATAAATAATTTCCGAAATCGTCTTCAGGCACTGTGTATATACAGTTTCTGAGTTAACATCTCAATTCCGCACTTCCGCTGAGGCACTCGCACGTCCGGTTCGTTTGGTAGTCGCGTCGCAACTGTTTTGGCCAACTTCCGAGTTCCGTGCGAAGAGCGACGAGCAATGGCCGCTCTTCACCATGCTCCTGTCCTGCGCCTCGCAGGTGAGTTTCCGGGAAGCGGACGGGGTGCGTGGTGGGTTTTCCCAGCTCCGCTCGGCTCTGTTGTGAAAATTGTTGGGAATTACTCATTGCGTTGACTGCAGTGTTGACGGCTGCGGTGCGGTATTTTTGGCCTTGTTGTCATCCCCGTCCACTCCACCTCCCAGCTTCTGTGTTTTGGCGCGTTTTTTAGCAACAAGTTTGACAGTCCCCCCTGCACAGTGGTTGCAGAGCCTCAAGAGTTTCCAACTAGGCCCTTTTAGAGCTTACTAACCTAACAAATTATTTGCTATCCAATGGGGTTTACTTGCTATGGGATTATGCTATTACTTTCCTTTATATGGAAAATGTCCTCGGGATCCTCGGAATCCTTCGAATCTGCGAACTGTTATTGCATTAAAAGAGAAACGGCTTAAGTAATTTCATAAATGTTGTAATTTTTCTTTCAACTCTAATAAATTATTAAATTTTTCTTTTAGTGACATTTATATAAGAATTTTCATAATAAAAACAGAAAAAGTACATCGACGAGAACTGAGAATTTCTTCAAATGCAACCAGTAATTAATTAATAAACGAATTAGATAAAATTAAGTGCACAAGATCTGCGTTTTTGTTATATCGTACTGCTTCTTATCTCTTAGATTTATAGATTTTCCCAAGTTATCTGTTCCAAATCATACTCAACGTATTATATCCATTAAGTTGGTTGATCGACTTTTAATAAATTTATATGTTAAGCTATCATGTTAGATAAAATCCTCAAAAAAAACCTTTACATAATCTAAGTAAACTATACTAACTTATGAGTTAAGTAAGACAGCAGAATATATTGAAATCTCCACATTGTATAGGCTCTATATACTTGTTTAAAATTTGTATCTCTATTTTAATTAATTTTCGAATTAATAGGCTCGATATGAGCATTTTACAATTGCCACATTTCCAAGAAGATGATGTATTATTAATGTTCTTCCACACATTGACCCCTTACCGATCGTATTGTAATGAGGCCCATTCTAAGTAAAATAATGTAGTCCCATCAACATGTTGCTACAGTTTTTGTTGCGCTCTCTTTGATGGGAGTTTGGCAACAAACTGTTGAGCATATTTTGGTGAGTCGACGCAGTGTGAGAGCACTTCAACAGGCAAGTGGCCGTCCGGCCGACCGGCTGTCCGACCGACCGACCACCCACCTCCCGCACCGGAGCGTGCTCCGTCACAGGACTTGGCCGAAATTGCACATGAAATGGAATCGCAATGCGAAACAATCAACGTGTCAATTAAATAATGCAAGCCGCCAACGAAGACGACAGCACTGACAACAACAGCTACAAATGGGCATTCGGACAGACGGACCCTGGGACACGGGGACAGTTGGACAGTTGGACAGTTGGACACTCGCCGATGGTTGTCACTACAAGCGAATGAATTAAGCGATTCAGTCGTGTGAGCACCGTTCTGAAAAGGTGCAAAAATGCAAAGCTTCCTTTTGTCCTTCGTCCGTGTTTCGCACTTTTTCCGGGATCCCCTGCTCGATGCCGTTGTTGTGGTCGCTGCCACAATATTTACGGCACTCTCGAGTGCCTTTATTTCCGCATGAATCATTCCCAGTTTCAGTTCCAGCTCCAGCTCCGACGCCTGCCCACGCCGCGTATAAATTCTTCGCTTCTCCTTTACCACGTGGTGCACTGGAAGAAAATTACCAACTTCATCCTTACTTTGCTAGGGTGCTCAAGAAATCTCTAAGTTTTGTGAGCCCTTAAAAATTTAATATAATTAACAATACAATTTCGGTAAAGGAAGTATATGATTAACACACTGCCTTGTTGCAACCTGATCTTATCTGCTTAAAATATTATAGTTTACATTGCAATAGGTTTTAAAGCCTTATGATAATTTTTCCTTATTAGTATTAGAGAGAGGAATTATTAGTTATATTTAAAAATTTTAATTATTTTTATTGCCATATGTTATTTTGTATTGTTTGTACCAAACCCGAGAGTCGAGGTACTGAATTTTTTTATCAAGCAAAATTCAATATTTTATATATATATTTTATATATATAGATATATTTTTTGTTAACTTTCAGATCTATAAGAATATTTCATAAATGTTTGTCCCAATCGGACTTTAACATTTTAGCAGTCACGTTCGAGAGTCACGGATTTTTCAAACATTTCTTTTGGCACATATTTATTTGTGTAACGTAACGAATATAACTTATTTAAATATCAAATCAAAACCAAAAACCAACACTCAGTTATAGTAACTTCTTCGATGACAAGTACGCTTATCTGTAATTTCAGGACTCAGAAGACATTAAACACTTGACAAAATTTAATAATGTGAAAATTAGGAAATTTTGACAGATTTCAAAGCATTGTATTATTCTTATAAAGTTATATTTTTCAATTGTTTTTCTATGTGTCTTATACTTCTGCTTCTTCACGCAGACACCAGTGCCTGTAGCATTTTTTATGAGCTCCCCCATGTCGACAGGACCATCATAGACATTTTTTCGGGCCGTCCATTCGGCAATGAAATTCCTGGAATTTTACGGCCGTTTTGCCTGTTGAATTTGTCATCGCAGGCTGAGGGCAGGCGTATATTCCATCAGCTGCCAGACACGACGCCCGTCGGTAATTATGATAAATGCGTTCTTAATACACTCCGCCGGCGGGCACCAACTGGCGTTAAAGACCTCGATGGCGGGGACTTCTTTCGAAGAGCTTAATGCATTTTCAGTCCATTGTCTGCGCAATGCGGCACCTGTACTAATGGCGTTTCCTGTCTTCCTGTCTTGGCCATTAGCAGAAAATGCTGTTGCACACTGATCGACCTGTCCTTCTTCAATGTTAGCCGGAACATGAGTCAGTCAGAGAGCCTGGTCGAAGCTCCTGGAACGTGTCTATGGGCTGATTGCACTCGCCCCCACCTGCTGATGTCATTACATGTGCCTTGTGTGTGCTTGTGTGCGGGGAGAGGCAAGTCGTTACACTGCTTCTTAGTTGCATTAATGCTTATTCAATCAACGTTTAACACAAATTGCCTATTAAAGTTGCCCCGAGTTCCTCGTCGCGCTCTCCATGCAAATGCGTGTGTATTATGGCCAGGTAATTTGATTAGCTGATAAACGAGGCAACACAAACGCTTATGCAGGTAAACCAGGGCTCTGCGCGACTTTAGCCATGTTATGACTGGCTAATAAGGTGCTCGCCGTACATGCCGTGGGGCTTAAATAGTTTCCCTGTTTCCGTTCACACGGGCTTCGAAGCGCCATAAAGCGTAGCATACATTTCAGGGACAGCTCAAGTTGCCCTTTGTGCTCCGTCACTGCGAAAGTAGTTGCCTGTCCGTCGGGACTTCTGGGTATCCGTGTTCAATAAATGTTACATGGAACTGGACCACAAGCAATTAAATGCAATTTGAGTTGAAGTTATGACACACTTGAAGCATTTACGACTTCCGACTGTTAAGTACTTTCACTTGGTTTCAATGCTGGAACTTTTTGAATGGAAAACGAAAGAAGTTGTTTACTAATCATAACTGTTAACTGTTTTATGAAATTAAAACGAATCCTTAGACTACTTAAACTATAATTCATTAAATGTGAATAAGCAAGTAATCATCCTAAACTCCTTTACCTACTATATCTTTTAAAGAAACTACGGTTTCTAGACACATAAATGGCACAAGGATTAAGTGTTCCTACCAAAGTACCCCTCCTTTATTTGTCATCTAAATTCGCTGTCAATATCCGCCATCCGTCGTTCGTCGAATCGCTGGCAAATCAAAAGTTAATAGACGTAATGGTGTCTCTGTCATTTGCATTCAACCAAAAACTTGATTATCCGCGCGATTTACGGAGCGCAATTGCGAAAGGTGCAGGGGAGGGGTGAGCTGTGCCGGGTGCTTAATGAGCTCAGCGAAATGTGTGCTTAAAATTAACTTTTAGCCAGCTACACAAACTGTCGCTGTGGCAGCTGTTGCTCTGCCAGACATCCTCGCAGCTCGTACTCGTAATTACGCATACATTTCGGGGCTGGCAACAGAAGGGTTTCTCCGCTGGCCGAGACTCTGCTTTAATAATTAAGTCTCTTGAAAATCAAGACATCGTGTCGAGCAACCAGAGTGCAAACACAAGTGGAGTGGGGGACAGGCGAAGGACATGAAAATGGACGAGGACATAGTCAGTGTCCCGACTTGGTCTTGCCGAGGTTGTCATCTGCAGGCAAGCGTCCTGCGAATGCAGCCCCGCAGAGAGAAATTTCGTGCGACTAAAAAACTAATTTCCCGCTTTGTTGAACATAATTTTATGCAATTGTTTTCAGATTGAATTGCTGAGTGGAAAGTGCCCCGGCAGACGGACCCGCATGATGCGTGCCACTTGGCCGGGACGATTTGCATTTGCTTCCAGCTTGTCGACTGCGTCTCCGGGTGGCGGAAGCAATTCAATGTCAGCAACGCATCCGCAGTGCACAATTAATCGATTTTGCTGCGGCTTTCACTGCGCTTTTATGCGATTCTTGGTACAATTAAATTTCTCATTATTCGCTGTCAGACGGCGCCACATGGCGGATGCTTGATGTCCAATAAGGACTTTAATCGCCCGATAATTCGATTAATTAATGGCCTGACGGCGGACTGGCAGCGGAGTTCCATTAAAATGGGGGAAACCCCCTGAACCGCACACCTGACTCTCGCAGTCGCCACCTTGAGGTGGCAAGTTCAATGGCGTTCGCTTCCGAGCCCTAATGGGTTCTTCGACTGGGTGCTAACCGAATCGCATCACGCCGAGTCGGGTGCATTGAACGGGGGCACCATCTGCCATATCCGTCGGCTGCTGACATTGGGCCGAATGGAAAAAACGGAATTGGAAAACCGAAACCAATTTA